GTTTTCTCACAGTCTTCTATATATCATTATAGACCTAGAAGATACTGAGTTTTGCTTTTTTGAATCTGTTATAAAAAAAGAAAGTATACTGAAAATTAGTGATAATAATAGCAGTAATTTATATTTACATGTTTACTGTATGCCTGGTTCTGAGCTAAGTATTATATATTTCGCATACAACTTTTACAACAACCCTAAAAGGTAGATACTATTTTAAATTATATTTTACTGATGAGAAATATGATGCTTAGAAATTTAAATAACTTGCCCCAGGTGAGACAACTAGTAATTGATGAAGTTGGGATTTGAATTCAGAAAATCTGACTCTAGAACCTACTCTGCTAAGCTCTATACTGTACTGTCTTTTATGTGATTCTGACACACTTCTTGCAGGCATCTGCCTCACTCCCCTTCCCTCAGTATAAAGCATCTAGCACCATGCCTAGTGCCCAGTAGGCACCTAACAAGTGTGAGCTCTCTATACCTCTGCAGCAGCTCATCTCCCAAGTATTGAAACTAAGACCTGATGATGCTTACCAGCCACGGTGTGGGGCACGGGGGAAGGAGGGAGCGGGGGGGGTGGTTTGCTTGCTTGACCAGATCGGTAGAGAACTCTCTGTAAATGAAAATTTTTTCTAAGTCTTTTTCTTTATTAAATCATAACTAAGTAAAAATTCCAGGGCAATATAATTTTGATATTGCCGTGAAGTTTACTGTATTGTGATTTAGCCTCTATGCCATACTTACACTCAGTTGAATTTGAAAGATGTTCAGTGTCATTAGCCATTAAAAAACCAAACCAAACCCTTGGATCTCAAGTCAATTCCAACTCATAGCGACCCTATAGGACAGAGTAGAACTGCCCCATGGAGTTTCCAAGGAGCGGCTGGTGGATTCAGACTGCTGACCTTTTTGGTTAGCAGCCGAATGCTTAATCACTGGCACCACTAGGGCTCCTTATAGCCATTAAATAAAACAAACCAAACCCGTTGCTGTCAAGTAGATTGCGACTCATAGCCATTCCATAGGACAGAGTAGAACTGCCCCATGAGGTTTCCAAGGAGCACCTGGTGGATTCAAACTGCTGACCTTTTGGTTAGCAGCCAAACTCTTAACCACTTCACCACCAGGGTTTCCTTATAGCCATTGGGGAAATGCAGATCAAAACCACAGTGAGATATCACTTCACCCCCATGAGAATGGCAATGATTTTTTTTAAAAAAAGGAAAACAACAGGTGTTGGTGAGGTTGTGGAGAAACTGAAACCCTTATCCATTACTGGTGGAAATGCAAAATGGTACAACCATTGTAGAGAACAGTTTGGTAATTCCTCAAAAAGTTGAACATAGAACTACCATGTGACCCAGCAATCCCAATCCTAGGTATATACCCAGAAGCAGGAATGCAGACCAGAACCTATGCACTGATGTTCATTGCAGCACTTTTCATAATAGCCAAGAAGTGGGAACATCCTAAATGTCCATCAACGAATGAATAAGCAAAATTTGGTATATGCATATAATAGAGTATTACTCAGTCATAAAGAAAAATTAAGCCCTGAATCATGATGAACTTAGAACACATTATGCTGAGCAAAATAAGTCTAATAATAAGTCAGTCACAAAATGACAAATACTGTATGATCTCACTTACATCAAATAAGCAAACATATAGAAACCAAAGCAAAGATGTCACTTTAAGGACTAAGGTGCGCCTTACGCGAGCCATGATGTTTTCAGTCGCCTCATATGCACGTGAAAGCTGGACATTGAATAAGGAAGACCAAAGAAGAATTGATATTTTTGAATTATGGTGTTGGAGAAGAATATTGAATATACGATGGACTACCAGAATGAACAAATCTATCTTGGAAGAAGTACAGCTAAAATGCTCCTTAGAATCAAGGATGGTGAGACTTCGTCTTAATACTTTGGAGGTGTTATCAAGAGGGTCCAGTCCCTGGAGAAGGACATCATGCTTGGTAAAGTAGAGGGTCAGCGAAAAAGAGGAAGACCGTCAATGAGATGGATTGACACAGTGGCTGCGATAAGCATAACAATTGTGAGGATGGAGCAGGACCGGGCAGTGTTTTGTTTTGTTGTGCATAGGCTCATTATGAGTTGGAAGTGACTCGACGCCACCTAACAACAACAACAACATAGAAACCAAAGATTATTAATATTTACCAGGAGTAGGAAAGAAGGGGAGAGTTTTTGCTTAGAGGACATTGAGTTTATGTTATACTGGTAGAATAATTTGGAAAAGGATAGCGACAAAAGTTGTATGACATAAAGAGTGTAATCAGTGTCGCTGAATTTGTACATGTGGAAATTGTTGAATTGGTGAAGGTTTGTTGTGTATATTTTCACCACAATAAATAAAATATTACTCTGGGAATTGGTACAATTACATGAGGTATGATTATAAAGACATGAAATTGCCCCATCTTTATTCTGTCTACAATGTTGTATTTTTATGGCACAAATCACCAGACATGATATGTTTGTTTATTTTCTGTGGCCCTTTCACTAGTGTATATGCTACAGGAGAGGAGGGACTTCATCTGTTTGATTCACTGCTGTATCTGTAATACCTGGAGCAATATATAGTAGGTGCTCAATAAATCTGTATTTTATGAATGTATATACTACGGAAAATTTACATTTAAATATTATTTTTCTTTCTAGCTTGGATTAGAAGAATGAGAAAGATTCCACCCACTATGGAGGTAAGAATATACAAGGAGAATATTCAAACAGCATGTGTTTATAATGCTGTGCTTCTCAATTGGGGGTTTGTACTCCTGGGAGCCCTGGTGGTACAGTGGTTAAGCACTCCGCTGCTAACAGGTGAGTAGTTCAAACCCACCTAACAGGTCCCTGGGAGAAAGACCTGGTGATCTGCTTACATAAAGATTACAGCCTAGGAAACCCTTTGGGACATTTCTGCTCTGTCACATGGGGTCACTATGAGTTGAAAACTGACTCGACAGCACCTACCAGCACCACCACCACTCCCTGGGATACATGAAGCCTCGGAATAAATATGATGCATCTTTCCAAAGATAAGATACTCCATAGTAAATAATTTTAAACATTTTCATGGTAAAATAAATGTACATATTATAGGATACAATATAAAATTGATATAAATTATAATAATAAAAATTTAAAACAAAATAATAATAAGACTCTTTAAAAGTTAGGGCTTGTAGCAGCCTGTATCAGGATGTTTCCCCAGTCCCCTGGGGGCTCTCTGTGCTGATACAGATTCTTCGGTGGAAAAGTATGAGAAATACTGAATTTCTTGGTGCTAACCAAATCAAGTCCTATTTATTTTGCCCTTCATTTTATATATTTAACTCTATCAAGCATTCTAAGAAGCTTTAAAATATAAAATTAAGAAGTAATGTGTAATCCTCAGTAATAGCTGAACTGAATTTTTATTTAAAACTTTAAAAGCTTATGTTTTGGTGGCTAGCAGAAAAAAAGATAGAAATGCCGTTGTATATATGTTTAAAGAACACGCTTGTTTCATAATCATTTTAAAGCAATAGCATGAAGAGTTGTAAAATTATTTTGTAAAGTGAGTCTTTGATTCATTAGTATACTTTCTATTTAGAGACATTCCCTTTCCACTACTATTTAGGACTTCCTTTCTCTTTTCTCTCTTCTACTTCCTCACTGTTGCGCACCCTGATGACTTGAGTGGGCCCCTGGGCTTAGCCACACTTGTTGAGAGATGGGGTGCTCCAGGGTTGGACTCATGACAGCACATAATTGGCATACCTAGCTTTACTTGCTCCATGCTGACCCCATCAGTGTTTGTCTGGCCAGGGTCTGAGTTAGCACCTGTCTAGACCCATTTCTAGCTTAGTATGTTGTTTCTCCCATTGGCCCTGTCCTACTCTTCTCAGGCCCTTCTTTCCAACGTCAATAAACCGTGGAATAAAATTTTTAAAAATTGACAGTGTGATCCAAAATTCAGAAGTGTCCCCAAGGATCTAGAGTGAAAGGATGGATCCAAGAGCCTTCTGCTTTCCCTTCTTTTGGCCATAGTAGAAGTTACTGTTCTCAGAGGGAAAGATGTTTCTTCTATCCTCATAACTTTGAAAGCTTCTTTATATAGAAACATTGATAGTCAAAATGATTAGATGACTAGGGAAGCAACTGCAATAATGAGGCCTCATGCACCACCCCTGCAAATTTGAAGTAATCCAGCACCTCAAACAAGCTCCAGTCAGAGCAGTGACCAGGTCATCCCATCCATGCCACTCTTTCTTGTCATTCTTGATTATCCATAAAGGAGCCCTCTCATGTTGCCTCTTCTCTAATGTACCATTAGTCACATAGTTTTTTGTTTGTCTGTTTTGTACCAAGAGCATGCGATCAGCAAAATGCAGACTATATGGCAAACTCTACAGGTCAAATGGGCTGAGTTTTCCAACAAATAAATTTGTAAGGAAATAAAAGAGATAGAGGAGGACCCTATAGTTTAAAAGAGATGTTAAATTTTACAAAATAAGCAGGTCTAGACCATAATGTACATTTAGGTGATAAAATGATTTTAAAATGTGAGAAAAATTATTGCTGTAAAAGTTAGATTCAGGGTTACTTTTGTGGGGAGAAAGGAGGTTGTAATTGGAATGGGGCACACGATTCTAAAGTAGCTGGCAAAGTTCTATTTCTTGATCTGGGTGGAATTTGTCTTGCAATAATTCATTAAGCTGTATATTTAATTCTTGTGGGGTTTTTTGGTATATATATTTTATTTTACATTTAAAAAGTTTTATTATTTTGTTTTTGCTTTGTTTTTTAAAGAAAATAAAGTATCTAGAATCTGAAATTGAAGAGTTTAAAGTTTTAGTTGTAGAATGGTGTTTGGTAATTATAAGAACCAGTGTTTGGCTATGGAAGTGGTTGTTCATTTTAGGTAGAGAGACTAGTGTGGATGAAGGCAAAGAACTGAGCAGCTAAGATTTAAGAAGGCAATGGGGAGAGAACACTGTAAGCCAGGTTCTAATCTCTTCAGTCAGTGTGAGAGAGTGATCTGGACATTGGTAAAGATAATAATGAAGAACAGGTAGAGACAGATATACTTGAATTGCAAAAATCCTCCACTCCCCTGTGCCTGCAAAATGGAAGAATATTTTGGAAGTGGCTGGGGAAAGCTAGGAGAAGCTGAACTGACTGTCTGTGGTGGGTTGGAAAGTGAGCACAGTGGAGATTCACTATCCATCAGGCAAAGGCAGATTTCAGATGAGATATGTGGTAGGGAAAGTTTCTGGGAAAATATTAAATGTTAAAGGTAATTTGATAACAAATTCCTAGAAAGGGTCATAAGGAGAGAGAGGTAGGGGTGTGTGTGTATTTATTCGGGAGTGTACAGAGGAACATAAAAAAAGAACGCTTTGCCACTAAGACCAGGAATAAGGCTGGGATGGCTGCTTTTACCATTTTTATTCAATAGTCATTGTCTTGGACGTCTTAACTAATGCAATAAGTCAAGGGAAAAAAAATATAATAAAGGGCATACAGATTGGAAAGGAAGAAGTGAAACTATATTTGCAAATGATATGAACCTGTAGAAAATCCTAAGGAAGGAATCTACAAAATAAAACCTATTAAAACTCGTAAGAGAACATAACAAGGTCACATGCTGTGGGTTCAGTATACAAAATGAATTATATTTCTATTTGTCAGTGAACAATTGGAAAATGAAGTTTTTAAAAAAAATGCCATTTACAATAGCATCAGAAAATATAGAATATGTAGGGATAAGTTAAGCAAAATAAATACAAGATCACTTAAAACTACAAAATATTGGTGAGAGAAAAGAAAGAAAATCTAAATAAATTGGGAGAAGTCTCTCTTCATGGAGTAGAATATTCAGTATTGCTAAGATGTTCATTCTCTCCAAAGTGATTCACAGCAGTGATTCTTATACTTTATCATGCATCAGAATCATTTGGAGGGCTTCTTGAAACACAGATTGCTGGGCTTCTTCCCTAGAGTTTCTGATCCACTAGGTATGGGGTAAGATCTGAATATTTGCATTTATAACAAGTTCCTGGGTAATGTGGATGCTGCTGATCCAGGGCCCACACTTCATGAAACAGTGATCTGTTGATTCAATCAAATAAAATCTAATTAAAATCCCATCAAACTGTTTGAACTTGTTGAGTGTCAATATACTGATTCTAAAATGTATATGGAAATGCAAAGGACCTAAAATAGCTGAAAACAATCATGAAAAAGGAGAAGAAAGAAGGCTTACACTGCCTGGCTTTAAGACTTACTTTAGAACTGTGATAACAAGACAGTATGATACTGGCATAAGGATGTATAAATAGATCGATGAAGTAGAGTCCAGAAATAGACACTATACAGTCAATTGATTTTTTTACATCATCAAAGTGATTCAGTTAGGAACGGAAAGCCTTCTCAACAAATGATGCTGGAATAATTTAATATCCATATAGAGAAAAATGAACCTTGACCCCACCTCACATTATACACAAATATCAACTCAAGATGCATCATAGACTAAACGTAAGCTAGAACTATAATGCTTCTAGAAGAAAACAATGGCATATCTTCACAGAAAGCACTATCCATAAAACAAAAATATTGGTAAATTGGACTTCATAGAAATTAACAACAAATGCTTATCAAAAGAGAACATTAAGAAAATGAATAGGAAAGTAACAGACTGGGAGAAAATGTTTACAGTACATGTGTTTGCCAAAGGACTTGTATCAGATTATATGAAGAACTTCTCAACTCAATAATTTTTTAAAAAGGCAAAAATTAATTAAAACTGGGCAAGAATCTTGAACAGTCATCACTTCATGAAGCAAGATATAAAAATGGTCACTAAGCATATGAAAAGACAGTCAACATCACTAGTCGTCAGGGAAACCACAATGAGATATTACTATACACCCACTAAAATGGCTGCAATTTAAAAGATTAGCAACAGCTATCACTGAAGTAACCATAACTTTCGTACAGCGCTGGTTGGAGTGAAAATATACAACCATGTTCGAAAACTGCCAGTTTGTTTTAAAATCTAACAAACACCTACCCTATGACCCAACAGTTGCTTCCTTCACCACCTTAAAGGCTGAAGGGATCATTTTTTTAGGCACACTTCTTGGGGTGCTCTGCCCAATAGTTGGTCTAATTTCTTGGCGTACCATGTAGGGCCTCCTGATTTGTAACCTGCCCAATTTTCTAGCTTTGTTTTCTTATGCTTGTTCTACCCACCCTGCTCTTCAAGGAACGCCCTTCAGCTGGCATACTTATGCTCGTGCTTAAACTCCATTTAAAGGGCTGTTTAATTGGTCCTTTAAAGTTTTTTAGTGCTTTCCTCAACTTATTTCTCCTCAACTTCTTAATTCATAGTTTATCACTCCTTTCTTGGTAGAACTACACTGTCTTGAACACCTGTATCATAACCCTTCAAGTTTAGTGTTGTAATTATTTGTTTTATTTGTTCATCCTTCTGACTGTATTGTGAGCTATATGGCACAGGTTTGATGTCTTATTCATCCATATGTCATAAGCAGCTAACACTGAGCCTGTTTCATTGTTGGTTAGAAAGACTTTATAGACAGATCTGAAAATCTCAATACGATGTAAGTATATTACATGGTTTCTGTGAAAAGATGGGTTTGAATTTCCAACAACCAACTATAAAACAAACTTATAAAACTGAACGTATTTCTAAGTTGATAGCTGTATTTTGTCACAGAAATTCACATTTAACTACAGATTGCCAGTGTATCATTCAGCACCTGGTCATCAATGCAGTACAAGTTAACACTTGAGAAAACTAATGAGATAGACAACTCTATCCCATTAGAAGCCACTGATAGCAAATATTTTGAAATATTTCTTCTCCTTTCATACAACAAAATAGTTATGATACAGAATAAAGTTTTCTATTTGAAAAAGTGAAATAAATTTATTTCCAGGTATTGACAATATATGATTCAGCAGTAGGTTTACAGGCAGTAGAAAAATGCTAAAATATCAGAGCTCTGCTTACTTCATTTTAGCACGTTGTTGCTGGATCCCATCGAGTCAGTTCTGACTCATAGCTCCCCTACGTACAACAGAATGAAACACTGCTGGGTCCTGAGCCATCCTCACAATCGTTATGCTTGAACCTATTGTTGCAGCCACTGTGTCAGTCCATCTCGTTGAGGATCTTCCTCTTTTTCGTTAACTGTCTACTTTACCAAGCATGATGTCCTCCAGAGACTGGTCCCTCCTGATAACATGTCCAAAATACATATTCTCCATAAAAGAGAAAAGGAAATTCTAGAATCCAGAAGAAAATGGAGTTGGAGATGCTGATGCTGTAATCTACGGAAAGGCATGGGGTTAGTGGGTTAGACCACACTACATAGTGTCTTCTTGTTTCCATGACCGTGTTTCAGATCTGGGCTGGAGGCTAGAAAGGTTTATTTTTGTCCATGCCCAAGGTGACTTAGCTCTAAAAGATTAAATAACGGTGACTGAAATGCCCTTGAATTTGAAATAGTTACCAGAATTCCAATACTGTAATTTACAATAAGAAATTAATATTGGCACAGGAAAAAACAGGAAGTTATTTGGTGAGTATGGCGTTAGGATAAGGGGAGTTTAGTAAAAGAAATACTTTAATTCCATCAGTCGTCCATCTCCCAACGGGGATGGTTTGACACATAGACTGAAAATATTTAAAGTGAATTGGCTATGATTCCCAACATCTATCTCTATACTAGGAATAGTGTTATGATTTGGAATAGAAAAAAAAATTGACAAATGATGGTTAAAGTTTCTTCACCCATGGACAGTGTTTTTTTTAATGGACTTCCAGCATTTGTCTCTGATCCTTTTTTTCTTCGCCTCCCTGTTCTGATTGAGATACTATTTCTTTTCCTATGACAATGGTTATATTATGGTCAAATGTTGCTGGCCCTGCCGCTGTTCTTTTGTATTACTCTTTTCATATCTCTGCTCTAGCCTATAATGTGTTGACCTAACAGTTTTAACTTTCAGAGAGGAATCTTATTTCTGGATTCTTGAGGCCCATTTTACTGTTGTCTCCAAGTAACTGACATTTTTTGAGTAAGTTCTTTGTGCCCGGTATTATTAGGCTTATTTTATGAGTGACAGAATTGAAATGTTTTAAAATTGACATTTTGCATGTATAATTCTACCGCCTTGACTTAAATTGCAAAGATGGAGTGTATGTTCTTGTGGAAAAAATAGACTCCTCTCCCTAACCTAACAATATCATTTTGGGGAATATAGTGGAAATGGATAAGAAAATTGTGAACGTTCATACACTGAGATATACATCAATCTTTAAAAATGAATAAACTAAAACCGCATGTATCAACATGGATAAATCTCAGAAACATGGTATTGAACAAAAGGAGAAAGTTGCAGAATAATTTATACAATGTAATACCATTTATATAAATTCCGAAAGCAGGGAAAGAATAATAGACTTTCTAGTAAAGATGGTGAGTTAAACACATACTTTTTCTTTCTTTCCTCAAATCTAATGAAAATGACAGTGAAAGGATTTATTTTTAAAGGCGTAAACCCACAGAGTCAAAGAAGATTGGAGAGATAAAAACAGCAACAATGTTCTATAAACTGGAAGACAGACAAGTGGTAACTAATTTAGCAAAACTGAGAAGAATGAATCCAAATCTGGCAGAGGAGAAATCCAGAAGCAACCCAATTTAAACCACAGAAACCCTAGAATGCCCAGGAATTGGCAGTGCCAGGAACCTCTAAAAGTGGAGTTGAGCCTGGCACCTAAAATAGTGACCTGGTTGAATATCTGTTTAAGAAGCAATTAGATGCTAATCAATAAATGTAGAAGAAATAATAGAGTTGGGAAATCAGCATTTTTCAACTATCATAGTAATGATTATAGTAATGATTGTTCAGTATCATCAGTGGATACTAAA